TATATATTTTTGCCATCACGGTGACTTATTCGTAATAGATTTTTATACTGATGGATTATCATGATCATATTTAATTTTTAAAATGACAAACCATTAAGAAAATTGTTCCAAAATATGATTTAGATGCGACAAGTAATTAATATAGTCATAAATATAGTCATATAAATAGTCAATAAATAGTCAATAAATAGTCAATAAATAGTCATTAATATAGTCATAACTATTTTAACATTTTTAGTCATAATTAGACATGAAAAATAAATATGAACTCAAAAGATAAGAGTTGAAAACCAAATGACATGTAGTTAAAAATATACTCGTAATAAATATGCAATTTAGGAAGTAATTGGCAAATATACTTTCCGAAACAGTTATGTACCAACTGTTTGTTTAAGAGCATATTTTAACAAACTGTATAAATATATATAGGTGTGTAAACCCACCCTTGTACCAGTATTCAAATTAAAATTTATACATTAGCAGTACCTATTCATTAGTTTCTTTTTTTTTTTTTATATTTAGATTTTGTAATACAATTAATCATTCATTAGTTTAATAATAATATTTTTTTTTTTAATTCAATCCGAGACTTATTTTATGTTTCAAAGTTTTACTAATCGTTATTAAGGTAAAATTAAATATAACACTAAACGAATCTTGGAAAAAATTCCAATCATAATCATACAAGAACAACGCTCAAAAAATCCAAAACATTATAGAATTTATATTTTTAACAAGAATTAAACGATTCGCAAAAAAATTGTAGCCGTCATTCGCACATATGTGCATTCATTGTACTCATTAATAATATTTATAGTCTACCTATACATGATAGTAAGCCCCCACATGTGAATATTACAAAAGCAAAATTATAATATTTACAGAGTCCTTACAGCGTAAATAATAAAAGAAACAACTAAAAACCACATACACTTTGCGTGAGCTGAATTTTAAAAAAAAAAAAAATAAAATAAAAGAAGAAAATTATAAAGTAGGCGAAAAACGGTTAAGTGTAATTAATGATAAAATATTATCGAAAACTAATGTGTATTGAACACGAATGCATAAAATACACAATACAACATGTGTATGCTTGAAATCATGAAAACTTCGTAACCAGTGTCGGCCTGGCCAAGGCAGCTAGGCAGCAATCACTAATCACTAATCACTGCTTGGGCCCCCTTCTTTTTTTTTTTTGTGTATATTCAAATGTAATGAAACGTTTGGATATAATAATAATGAGGAACATGTGGTCTAAAGTATTTTAACTTTTAATTTTTAAATCTATAGTTTGAATAAGTAAATCGTACTTCTTATTATTTTAGTCAGGTTATATAATTGTGCAGTAGTTCGATAAATATAAATTATAATTATTTTGGATGAATGATCTTGATATTAAATAGTATTGAAGAACAATTAATTTCAAATGAAAATATATTAAAGGATGTAAATGGTTAGATCCAAAAATATACGAATACATCGAAAAGTTTGAAGAATATGCTATGGATATCTTGATAACTGTAACAAAGTGATCTGATGTTAATAGAGACACTGTATTACTTAAATAGAAACAATTTGCCTCTTATTATTTTAATATTATTCCAAAAAAACATAGAATAATGAACGATAATGATGGTGAAGGTTAATGTCACTAGTAGTGACATCTGATTCAGAAGATGAACTTGATTCGATAAATTGTAATACCTGTTGGAAGTATACAGTATGTGCTTTTAAAATTATTACCCAACTATCTTGTCATTATGGTATGTACAACAATTTGAATCAGGTTTATAAATACATAATGCTATTACCATCAACTCAAGTCACTTGTGAAAGAGTATTTTCTAAGCTTAAAGTAATAAAAACAAAATTAAGATCGTCACTCGATCTGCGGCATTTAGAACTACTAATGCTTATAGCTATAGAAAAAATATATTACTTTAAATGTAGATAAAATAAAACTAATATATGACATAGAAAATTCGTCAAAAGAAACGACAAGACTTTTCAAATGATATAATATATATTATTAAATGTATTTATTTTATACATTTTTTTTTTTTTTTTATAAAAGTTGAATACTTAACGGTAAATTTAGATTAAAAGAATTTTTAACTTTATTCTTTTTTATTTAAAATAACAAATATAGAATCTGTATTACATTTTAATGATCATTTTACATATTTAAGATATATTTAATTTCAATATACGAGTAATAAATAAATGTTGTAGTATAGGGGTAAGATTAGGTTAATCCTGCCTGGGCCCTTTAGAACCAGGCCGAAACTGTTCGTAACTATATAATATTCAATGCAATGACAGTAAGCAAATATTTATTTTAACCATTGCACATATTTGTGTTTCGTATAACTCGTTGGTAAAATTCGGCAATTTGGCTTGTATCGATCAAGACCATGCCTAAGAATTGAATAACATGTTAAATATATCTTCTCAAAACCTAAGAAATTTTTCGAATTCCTATTATTTTTTTAATAATTTAAAAAAAACTGACAAAACGTACCGCTTTAATTTACCCGACTTTTTTCATTCATGATATTTTTTTAAGAATAATAATATACATTGATACTACTAATGTTGGTTACAAATTTAAGAGACCGATACAGTAATACTATTCACTCGTCCATGAAGTTTCACCTGTCTAAATTTCGCTCTTTTTATTTTTTTGTTTGAACATATATAACAGAAAACTATGATGTACGTTTATTACATTAACGCACTTTATTATTATTGCAGTTTAAATTGTTCGTTATGTTTTTCTTGTTAATTTTATACTTATTATATTATTTTGCACCTTTTTTATTCATTAAACTACCTTAAGTGTTATCACCGTAATTTAAATTAAGTATTATTATTGTTAGGTTATACACGCTTTATTAAATTGTGTAAATTGTGTTATTATAAAACGGTTTTTAACTATTACAATAATGTCAGGTTTTATCATAACGTTATTATTATAGTTTTCATAGAATTACCTTACATAACATTTCCCTATATACGAAAATAATATAAAAAAATTAAGATTATATAAAAAAAGTAATTTTTAATTTCAATTAAAATAGGAGTTTTTAAAAAATGTTTTGAATAAAAGCAGAACTATTATATTAATACTTAAAATAAATAGCAATGTCTATAATCGAAAATTGCCCGAATAATTAAAAGTAATGTTTTATGAAATTTATTGAAATTACGGGCAGGTACATGGTAACAATAGTAATCTATTACATTATGTTTATTGTATTAGTAACTATTATCAAAGAGAAAACAAATAAAATGCAAACAAGAATTAAGTAGAAGCAATCATGGATGATCTAGATACTTGAATCTCCTATTAGATACATCAATTATTATTTGAATATACTAGATATAAGATTTACTAGACATTTCTAAAAATATGCTAAATATTAGATACATAAATACATTTTTTTTACCGTCTTAGATACAAGATAATTGATACTAATAATTTTTTTTTTAATTACTATTAGTGTAAATAAAATCATTAAAATTCATTTTATTTCAATATTTTTTGTATTTAATGTATTTAATTTAAATCAAAACACATGAACATTAATTATGGAGTGCAGTAATAGCCCGGCTATTATGTATCTTTTTTAGGTTAAAATATTTAAAAAAAATGAAAAAAAATTATATAGAATACAAATAAAATCAATTTAAATATATTTATTATTTATTACTTCATTTTTAAAATGACGAATTATTTTTAAGAATTATTAAATTTTCGAACGTTTAATCACATAATCTAGAACTTGTTGGCGAATATATGAAGGCAGCTAAAGAAAATATTTTATCAACTGGCACTGAAGAAAAAAAACTTGTGTTGTAGTAAACAAATAATTTAGCCAAATTTATCCTAAAGTAGGTCTCTTTTTCTTTAAAACTTGTTTCATGAAATATGTTTTCAATTAATTTAGTGCTTATATTAGTCAACTACGTACATTATATAAGGCAAATTTAAAATTGACTTATTTTTTCTTAAAAAAAAGTGTATTTTCGTTTGAATATATATATATATTTTCATCTTGTACTTTTGCGCAAACAAAATTAAAATGTACTAGATACACAGCCACAAAAAGTATCTGGATACAAGATACAAGATAGAACTCACAATTATTTAAAGATACAAGATACAAATATATCTAAAATACTGCCCATCCTTGGAAATAATATTCAGAATAACAGAACTATAACCCTAGGTTGGAAATACGCATAATTCTAACCAGGGACTGTTAAGTGGCGTGTTTCAGTAGCGTACACGGGGGTAAGGTTCTAGAATTCTAACCATGACCCACATTTCTGAAATGTCTACTACATTTAAAAAGGTTTATTGATAATAGTTTTTCGACTGATTTTATGATCAATCTAAAGTGGATAGACTAATCCAACTAAAGTACTGCGTACGCAACTGACATAGTTGATTTTTAAATGTTAATTAAATATACAATAGATACAATTAAAATATTAAATTTTAAACATTTAATTTGGATAAAGTGTTAAATTAAATTTAAGTAGGAACCATAATTTAACAAACTTAAAGTAAAATCAAGAAACGTTCATGTATAACATAAGCTGTACCTGTTTAAAAACTTAAATTCAGAATTTATAATATCTAAAACTACATATATAAGAGTTAAAAAGTAATATATCATTAATACTAATGAAATTATCTAATGATTTATAGTAAATTTAATGTTTGCGGTGTGTAAATAATTATGTAATATTATGTATTTTACAAAAAGTACAATTGAAATGTATAACAGCTTGAACAAAAATAAATAATAGATTACATCAACTATATTCGATTAAATCTGTCTTAAGAAAATCGATAAAATTGTAAAAATCGTTTTTAAACTTGAGAGGTTAATCTTCTAGTCATTGACCACCTACAAAACAGTAGATCGCCATCCACAAACAATAACAATTTGTTCAGTTTAAAATTTTCACGTAATGTGTTAAAATAATACCTGACACTATCGGACCTTGTATTCGGCGACCAATCCTTGGAGTAAGTAAATCTTCTGCTTCCGCTTGTTCTTAGATTTCTCGCGTCATTCCACCGGAGGAAATGATGTTTGAATGTGTTCTTCACTTCGGAGTTGACGAAGCAATAGAATATTGCCACCATAAAACCCTAAACATCCATTCGTAAAGGCTTTAATATTTACACTTGGTCGACAAAGATAACACACAATTTAATGAGCATACCTGCATTGACAAAAGTGTTGCTCTGCCGTACGAGTAATAGTTGGCGTAGGTGCCGGATTCTGTAGGTCCAACCATGGTCAGTATGTAGGTGACGCCCAACAATGGTATAAGAACTAACAACGCTTTACTTGCTTTGCGGTATTGCTGTGTCTCAGCCGAATTCGCTGATCTTAATTTAGTGATTAATACCTGCAAATTGGAACATATTTACCATATTTATTATTAAAAAATAACACTGAAAAATACTCTGAGATAAAACTGATTTCAAAAATACTAATTCAATATCAATGCAAATGCAGTGTATATCTATTAAAAAATGTGAAATAAAATAAAATTGTATACATTTTAGATTGGAAATGATGAAATTTTTTTATTTGAAATAAATTTGTTTATTTTGAACAATATTTTGTTGTGGAATAGTAATATTTTTCAATAGTCATTTAATCGCATGCATACTTAAAGTTTATCTAATGACATATATTTTAGATTTTCACTATAAGTAGACGATCAATAGAGAAACTGTTTTTTTTTTCATAAAAGATCTTCAATGTCATTGTCAGGAACTACAAATTACGTTGTAAGATGTAGGTACTTAAACATGTACATTGTAGAACAATGTTCCTTATTAAGTGATGTCCGTAATTACAAAATTGTTTTTCTTTAAATTCATAACAGTATATAACGTAGTTAACATACCCACATAATTTTTGATAAGAAAATTAAATTCACTATTAAAACCAATATCGCTGGCCCTTGATAAATCCAATCATTCACGGGGTGTGGTGCCATCCACGCACATGAATCGTTTCTCTCCTGGTCCTGTAACAAAACCAGTACATCCATTGTGTTGCTGCGCTAGGTTCTAAGGTAACCCTTGTTAAACGACATTTTATAATTTAACTTATGACAACTCGTACAAAATGCCATAAATCCGACAAAATGATAACCTTTTCAAAAAAATTAGTTAATGTTGTACAGCTCATAAAATATGTCAAAATAGTAGCGTATTTGATTAAATATTAGAAACTCCAAAAAAAGATGTAATAAATAAAATTACACTAAATTATCCCATAACAATCATAAAATTTATAAGTGTAATAATATAATATATATTAATATGATTTATTAATATTGATGTGCTATTGATGTGTTGTTTGTTATCAATAAAACCAATACGCTAAAATGTAATGTCGTAATTAGAGATTTTGATATGATGAACTACAATTATTATATCAGATAGCTAAAATAGATAATGGACACCAGAAATATAATATTATGTAATTCCTGAGCCTATGTCACTATCTTATCCCACACCCAATTGAACTCGATAAGATATTTCAGTAAAATTGCTCAATGGCACATGTCATGATCATACGTAAGTATTGAATCCAAAGAAAATCATTTAATGTGTGATACGATTGAAACGAGAAATGTAATATGTACGGAATAGCATCGGTAATGATACGTAATAGTGCATTCCAATGTGTTCCCTGGAATTCCATTTTCCATCTGAAAATAGAACAATATTTCTCTCTTCCCGTCAGGGAAGGATTTCGATAAATTTTGAAAACATTACAACTCTAGGGTTTTGTTCAACTACCAACCCAGCACATTTTTATATTTAATATTTTCAATCGAAAAGTTTACAATAAAAACCATTAATACCACCGATTGTAAAAGTCTATAATATCTCGTTTGTCATTTTAACGATAGAAATAACTTTAAAATTAACGGAATATTTTTATAATTTCTAGAAAAGATGAAATTAAAGTGTGATTTATACTTATTACATTTTATAGAATATATTGTAATACATAGTTTGTACTTCTCAAGTACATTATTCCTAAAAAAAATGTTAGACAGCGGATCACAATAATCTTTAGGCCCCTACAACTTAACTGAGGTAATAAATAACCAGAGATATTTTTACAGGATTGTAAATATTTAAGCGAATATTGATCCTTCTAGAGATAAATATTTTGATAAATATCTTTGAAATATTACACAACACTGTAATGGCTATAAATGTAATTTTGATTACCAATAGGTACTGTGTACATTACACCTCAATTTATATTATTATTATTACAGTATGAAAGTATATTCGTATAATTATGACAAAATTGTATAATATAAAACCTATTTGAATAAAATTATATTTCAAAGGGTATTAGACAAAACTCAAAATCGCATTTGAATAATAATATCTTAATCTAATTGTTACAAGCAAAATCTGAATAATATAGAGAATTTAAATATTTGCCACTATACCTAGATGTTTCTAAAACAAAAGGTTGTTAAATAGTACGCTAGGTATTAAGGTATTTGAAATAAATTAACTGCATTATTTGAATAATATTATTTCGTTAATGCATTATACATATCTTTAAAAAGCACTTTATGTATAATTTCGAATCATACTAATTTAGTGGGAAAAGTATAACTGGGTATTGATTACACTATAAGAATATAAGAAATGCGTATATTTATAACAAATATATTATCAAGCATTATGTTATTATATTATTATATCATTACTATATATATATATATATCTTCTTAGTTAATAAATTTAAAATTAAATTTTATTTTTCTTATTTCAGTATCTACCTACTTATAAAAATTTTTATACCAACATTTTATTTGAAATATTTCTCATAAAATTGATAAATAATTTTGTAAATTAGTATAAATTAAACTATTAAATACTAACATGATCCTTTTTTTTTTTTTTTATTTAATCAAGTTTCCGATAAGTTTCCTACAAATTACGTTTAAATTATTAAAATTAAACATAATGTTACGTTTTACGTTTAATAACACAATCAAATATTATATCTCATTATTTGAAGTAATCCGCTCAATTTATATTCACACGAATTTCATTTGAAGTATAAATTTCAGAAAAAAAATACCCCGACAAAGTATAAGAATTTTCCTTCTTAAGGCAGAAAATAAATAATTTTTTGTATAAAAAATAAACTTGTACTTGAAAAACAAAATTTAAATAAAATATTAAATAAATGTTAAATAATCTATAAAATATCTTACGTACATGTTTGCATGTTTAAGTACATTTACACACAAACAAATATAACACAACAAATTTAATTGTGTATAGAAACTGAATACAGATTAATTGTTTTTCAACACAAAGTACAACCAGTTGATGAACTAAATATTTCAATATTTACTCATTTTTATTCATGAACATTTTCCAAGATAGTTTGACATATTTTTTTGCAGAACGAGTTGTTTTTAATTTCGAATCATAAAAGAAGAAAAGAATTATAATAAAAACATAATAATTTCCATTATTTTAACTGTCCCAGCATGTTATGAATACTAAAAATACATTTAAATTTAGTTTGTTAGTTTAAAAGGTTTATGCTTGGTTTTTGTTTTTTTTTTCTCGCAACGCAATCCTTATTCTTGATAGTTTAATTCTTACCAAAACTTTATATTTACTTACGGATCATTAAAACGCATAAAAAATGTACAAAAAATACGAAGCCGAATTTAATTTATCAAAAACAACTGTTTGCGAACACCTCCAAAACTATAATGATTCATTACACCAATTCCTCCCCTGTCTCTTGTTTACTGATAAACAATGGTTTAAAAATAAACTTTGGTTTAAGGTTTTGATATTCATGGAGCACAGACCATATCCGTCTTAAGGATACACACATATCTGTATCTTTAAAGAATCATAGTAAATTTTTTTTGACAATTATGTATTTATTTGCCACAATTATTTTTCCAATAATCACATCTCCATCCTTAGCCATTCCTCAAAATTTATCGACATATTTTGAATTTTTTTTTTTTTTAAATAAATTATTTAATCTTATAAAAAGTATCTAAACTAGGTAAAAGTTCACAAAAACAAAATTTAAGTCTTATCATCAAATTCAGTTTATTGATTTTATAAAAAAATATTTTAAAATGACGTATATTTCGTTTATATTTCTAATATTAAAATAGTACTTAATAAAAATGCCATACATAGATTAACGTTAGAATTAGATGAAAAAATTCAAGTTTTCATGTTAACTTACACGAATTCACATAAAATGATGTGGGTTGTACTTTTTTGCAATTTAATACGTAAATCATTGTAATATACTTCGTGGCTGTTGTTTATTTAAAATAACAAAGCTATGCAAATATATTATTAATATGATGTATTCCTTTTTTCATTTCATATTCTCTACCGATCCATTGACATTTCTCAGGTTTTATAGTTGAGAGCAATTGATTACCAAGTAATAGTTACAAAGTCTATCAAAATAAATATCAATTTTTCTTTACTTATATTTCTCAGATTGAAAACTATAAAATTGATAAATCTTTAGTTTTTAGGAGAGAAAAACTACAAAAAATAAAATTAATATATTCGATATACTCGTATCTTTATATTATTCTAAATGATTCCAGTAAAACACAATTTACTCTTAAAATTTTATAATATTATAATAATTAATTAAAAATAATCAACGTAAAATATTTTAGCGAAATATATATTTAAATTATTTATTATTATTTTTTTTTTTTTTTTTGGGCAAGTTTGTTTCAAGTTCTTTTGAAAAATAATTAATTTTATTCATCATAAATTATAAATTAAACCATATAACACAAAACATGTACTAGATTTTTTTTCGTTTACATCCGAAAGTAAATTATGTTAAATATACCGACTTTTACTTATATACTTCAACAATTATTGTTTATTTGATAGATATCATTTATCATTTTTTTCTCCTTTTACTCTATAAGGTGACAAAAAGTACAGTCTTACGAAATAATTTTTCTTTTCGTTCTATATTCGTCTTATAAACTTTTAAATACTCGATTTACGTTTTTTATTTCATAAAATGTAAAGTGTAATGTTATTTGTTAAATATGTCATTTTCTAAAAACAACAAAAATTCGAATAAAATCATGTTGGTAATTTATAACTAAACAATTTACTATTGTTCTTATTATTTTTATCTAAAATTATAAATTACCTATGTCAAAAAAATCTTTATACGACTTATAGAAAATTAAGTGTTATTGTAAGTATTAAACTCTCACATATTTAATTATAAAAGAGTTAAAAACACATTACGTATCTAAAAGTCACTATAATTAAATTATAGTAAATTTTATTATAATACATAATATATAATAACACATTATAAAAAACAATAGTTACTATTGTGTTGGAAAATTCATCAGATTATACGTAACATAGGGTTACTAGTATGCATACAATTAACCAGATCATCATAATTTATTGTAATTAATGAGTAAAATAAATATAATAATCACATAAATAAAAGATAATTTTATTTACTTCACAATAGATTCTCATGTATGCTTCAATCATATTTAACTAGTGTTGACTTTCTAATATTTTCGAGTGGTTGTATTACATTTATTCAATAATTTAAATTGAACATTAACAAATAAATACGAGTTTTCTAATAACGAATCACTTTTGATACGTCAAAACAATAGATTAATACAAATAATATTCAATATATGACAATTTCAACATGGTAGGTATTTAAAATTATTTTAACAACATATAGAATGATCGAAACAATGAATGTAATTTGTTAAAGCTATCAGTTTTTATGAGTACTTAAAAATACTTATAAGTTATACAATGTATAATATACATATATGTATAATTTCAAAAACTTAGTGCCATTTTATTAATTATCAATTAAATAGTAGATTAACTATATCAATCTGAATTTTAAATGAACTGAAGATTATAATAATTTAAATTTTATCAATCAAATTTAATCGGAGTTTAAGTAAACTGAGTTTTATACGCTGAAGATTTACTAGCAATTGAAGTAAGCTTTATATTAGTTACGTATTATTTATCTAATATCATTTTTATCCATCTTATTTTACCTATCCGTTATTTGTTCTTGCAGCATTTTCAGTAAAATTTTAAAAAAAATTTTTACTTAATTAAAACCTTGCAAAAAAATTATGACGGTTTCATTTATTTATATAATTTATGCAGGTTGTCAATAAATATGGTTTTCTATTGTTTAATTTCCTATTTATATAATTCAGAAACTCAATATCTTCATCACTACTGCTAAAATTTATAAACGTCAGTCATCTAGAATTAATTATAAGACATGGTTAGAAATGAAAAAATTTAATTGTAACGTTTGATTTTGAACAAAAATGTGGTATTATTTATGATAGTATGAACTTAAACTATGTTTAAACACTTTAACTGACCAAAATATCTCGGTTAACATAATCTGTGGGTATGTTCTAGTTAATATTTAACCAATTGATAATAAAATCATCTTTTAAGTTTAACGTTAAACCTAGTTTAAGTTGTCTTAACTGATGATTGATAAAATGGGCTTTCTTATTTTTTTATTTTTATAATTTTAACAATGCATAATATTTAAACGAGGTTTTACTATTTTATTTTTCAGGTAAGAATGTGTTATTGTATTATTCATAAAACATTTAAAAATATATGTATGATAATACAGTTTTGAAATAAATAACACATAGCGTACATGTATATTAATAGTGTTAGTAAATTATACAAAGATTTAATTTAATAAATAGTTGTATTACTTAATAATATCTCATAACGTACTTCTATCGTTCAACCAAATTAATATGATAACAAGTTTACATTTTTTGTTTAGCAAAATCATATTGAATGAACTTAAACTGAATTTTAATTTGTATTTAAGTAAATCATTATAATATGTATAACTTTTGGTTCGCATTTTTGGGAAAAAAATTATATGAAGATCAAAAATATAGTGTTTATCGTGTTTCTCAAAATCACAGTATCGTTAACAATGTTTTTCCGGTTCAACGATTAAGTAGTTTTGAAAAAAATAAATTAAGTTTTCAAATAAACTTTTTTTTTCTTAAAACTTAATATTAAGTATTTGTGAACACAAATATAATCAATTCAGTTTTTTACTTATTTTATTTATAGTATATTTTAAAAACTTATAAACATTTAAAAACGTGTATAATTCAATAATTAAATAATTAAATAATTCAATTATAATTTTTCTTACCTCTGTCTCTAACGATGTGATTATCTTAGCAATACTCCAAATTATCATTATTATAAGCGGAATACCTGCAATAAAATAAATAATAGTTAAATATAATAATTTAATAAATTAATTTTTAATTATAAAACGTGTAATAGATCAGTTATGAATATTTAAACTATAGTTCAACAATGACGTAATATACTCGTAATATATATTTTCCTTGAATTATATTTTTTTCAAATTTAAGTAAAAACTAAAGAAAAAAAAAATGTAATTAATTGAATTCTTGTTTGTGTTCAGGTTTATGTATTTCTTTTTCTTCCCCCCCCTTTTTTTTTTTTTTTTGATAAAATATTATTAAAAAATAATTTTTATAATGATTTACTTGAACATTTAAATTGATAATAGTTATAGTGCTAACCAATATATTGACTCTGTTAGTTTTTAATTTATATATGAATTTTAAATTATGGTATAACTAAGCGTTTTCTAAATTATTTACTTAATATATTTTTAATACAAATCAATAAAATTTAGATCTAAAAGTTGCATACAATTTCATAAAAAAACTTGATCGTTTCATGTTAAAAATTTGTAGTTTTTGTTTTATTTTATAATCATAACGTTAATTTTGAGTGTAAATTATGTAAAATGATTTGAATATGAATATGAGTTCAATTTCTTAAAGCCATTTTCAATACGATTGAACAACACGATTTATAAATCTTTTGTTGTTCTACTGATCCTCAGTTTGACTTGAATGACAAGTCATAGAACTTCTGTGATTTCTTCATTAGTGTGAATTCACATAATATAATATATTCACATAAAATCATGAACTATGGTACCTTTATGCTATTCCTACGTTATATATTAGCTGTCAATGGTTGAAACTTCCATTTGATTTGAATAATTGTCAATACGTTATTGAATACTCACAATCATTATCTGCGTAATATAATTATATACAACGTCATAATTAAAACTCAATAATGAGATGGATGAATAATAATATAATGTATACAAGATTCTCAGGAAATTCTAGACAGAAAAAATGATTTCACGTAATTTTACTTACGCTGAACAATAGTCCATATGCATATAATATACAAGTGTATAAATTGACGTGTGACGTAAGGTGTGACACCGGTTGGCCGTCTGTCTTTTTTAATACACGTATATCCACGATGCGTCTTCATTCATCCAATTTATGTATTAGTTTTAAATACTCAAAATGAAAAACGATTTTTCTATTAAAAAAAGCTCAAATATTTATTTACAATCTGATAACAATTTATTGAAATAATAAATATTAAAGTTTGCAAATATTTATTTTATATCCATAATTTATACATTTTTTTAATTTTTTTTATTCATATTGTTATACATAAATGTATACATTAATAATACATGTTTGGTTTATGGGTCTCCCTAAATATCACTACAGACTACGTTTTTATTAAATATATTTTATTTATTTATCTGTTATCATATAGTATTGACATTTATCGTAAAATATTAAACACCCACATTCTTTATAGTCAAATTCATTGATCGTCAAACACTACGCGTACCTATAGGTACGTTTAATTATGTCTTTAAAACTATAGTGGGACCTCGATAACTCGAATCGTTTTGGGTCAAAAAAAAAAATTCGAACTATCGAAAATTAAACTTATAGAGGTTCGAATTATCGAGATTCCATTCTATTTAGTTTTTTACCAAATGTTGGAGAATATTAATTAAATTATTCTACATTATTATACCTACTAGAAATTCAGATCCAGAAAAAAACCTAAGTGACGTAAATTATGTATTTGTAAAAAATGTTGAACGATTTTGAATGCATGTATTTTCAGAATTTGATAACGTTAAACAATTACTGAAAAATGTATAAATAGTGGATATAAATGTTTCCTGCCTTTAATGTTTATTATTTCATTAAGGTGTTAATATTAAACGATAAGCAAATATCTAAGCTACAATAACCACTTTTTATTTGGAGTAAAGTATTTAAATTGAATGCATCAACTAAATGAATGAAGACGTTTCGATGATATGCGTATATTAAAATAGGCGGGTGGCTAATCGATGGAACGTGTAACGTACGAGTATAGCATTATTTTAAAACGACCGATAATTTATTAACTGTACCCAATTTTTTATTACATCAAGTACTAACGATTTAGCTTTTATCTATTTCTCCTTAGAAAAAGTCATTTATCAAACCAACTGGACCAGACATATTTTAGATACTATATTTTTATAATAATTAATTTGGTTATTAAGGTAAACACGGAAAACATGAAATAAAGGATGGTTCCATTTTAATGAATTAATTCATTACAGATTCATCATAATTATTATAACGTACGAATTTGAAAATGGAATTTTTCGTGATTAAAAAAAATTCAGTTGTTTTGAATATTGTAAATATTAATATGTATTTAAACGGCTCAAATGGAATCACATGAAATATTTCGTTTTGAATAAGTTTCTCATATTATCCAGGCCAGAATTCGTATTGACTAAATTAATCACATACCAAATTCTGCCAATTTGAATTTTTGAACTTTTTCTCGTGATCAAACTAATTCATTTGAATTGCATGGTAAATATTTGCTTAAGAAAATAGACAAGAAAGTAGTTTTGTCTCTTAGGTAGAATAAAGAATTATTTTTTGCGAAATTAAATTTTCCAGATAAATGGTTGGTATATAATTTCCGGTAAGATCACGAATATATGCGTATACTACGTATAAATATATATATAGTATACAAAATATTTGCATAAACAAATTGAAAAAATTAAAATTGTTAGGTTAGGGATAACGTACGTAATAAATTCGTCGTCCATTAATACAAGTTTCCATGTTTTCTTATACAACCTATCTGGTGATATTTGTTGAAAGAACGAAGATATCCACAAAACGAAAATATAATCGTCCGAAGGAAAAAAATTTTTCCAAAAGTACGTTTTGTTTGATTGTAGGAGTTTTCTCTTCAAGGCTAATATATTTTGAAGAATGAAAAAAAATCCCTAAAATAGAATAAAAAATGCTCACAGAAAAAATGCCACAACTTTCAAAAACCGGATTTTTCTCAATTCTTTAACGTTCGTTTGTATTTGAGTAAATATTGTCCGCAAACAACGTTAATAATTCGCACACCCTTTCTAACAACACGAAAATGTAATTCTCAAGTCTAAAATCCTGATTCCGATGCCAATGGGTTACGTTTTCTGAGTTCTGCAATCGACAAGATACCCGTTTCCAATAGTATCGTTTTAAAAAGCAAACGTGGATTTCCATGTTTTCCAGTACTTTTGACTCCCAGATTCCGGAATATACTGTAGTGAATCCATCAGCTGTTTGAGTTTCCTTACTAATATACGACGTTAATCCAGGAACACATTAATGTAAGTCCTTGTATGAATATACGGATCTGCCAATTAAATGCATTATTTTGTTGGAAAGCATTGAATTAAATTGAAAAGGTCCTTTCTCCTCTTAACTATGCTACCTGGCGTAAAATACAATTCACAATATTCGCCTCCACCCTTGGTTTAAATGTTTTAGACATCTAATTGTCTCCTTCGCTCGTCTCAGAATCGGATACAGTCTACTTCCCTACCACTCTTTTTGCTATTCCTTAAATTGAAAAATTTAAGAGGAAGCCTTCTTTATACTCTCTATCATGAAAAAGCTACTTGTGATCCAAATCACCTCTTATTTAATTACCCATTTTTTACATTCTAGTAAACGTCTTTTTTTCTTAATTTTTACAGCCCTGGGCTACCTCCGTCCAGATATCCAACTTCTTCTTATTAATTTTCGTTTCTGTCAGAGCGTTAAAATACTTGGAGTGTAAACAAATCAGTGAAAACTGTCTAAAGCGGACCCTGAATAAAATGGAAAACTATCCAATACGGAATTTTTCTATGGTCCTGACACGTTCCTATAGTTTTATATAGACGCTAAACCTCAATAAAACGGAAACTTCTTAACGCGGAAACGGAACGATTTTGTAAGTCTTATTTAAGTAAAAACCTTGCATAAACCGGAAAAATGACACGCGCATGTTTACTATAAACCTAAAATATAAGTCATCATTATATGTACATCGTTAAATAGTGATAGATAAAGAAGATAAAATTTTTCTATACATATTCGTACAATAATGTACATACAATGCATATTATCGCATAAACGATAATGTATCTTATCGATAATAATCTTCTTTGTAACTGTGAAACAGTCTTAAACTTAAATATTGTTATGACAAATATTTCAAAACTATTATACTATAAAAAATAACAACAGATACTAATTAAAAATGTATAAGTATTTGCTTATATTTCTCGATCAACATCTGAATTAATATTTTTAATTTAATGATTCGTCATTGTTATGCATTCCGTAGAATATTTGTTTACGCTACAGTTCTTAATTAACAAATTGAAACAAATTAGTTTTTATAAATATGAACTATCTCATATTTTAACCGTAATGTATAGAGATCTCATAAAATACTAGATGTTTGATTCCAAATAACAATTTTCAATACAAAAAAATCTATAGGTAGCATATAAACAGAACATTGAAAAAAAAAACAAATGTGCACATGATTTAAATAATTGATGGAACTATGTTATAATAATCATAATTAATCTATAAATAGACATTGTACACAACTGCTTGTGTAAAATTAAAATTTCCGTGAACAATTACGGTGATAATTCATTTATAATACAAATTTATCATATTTATTAATTAGTTAAATATAGTATAAGTAGCCAAATATAAAATACAAAAATATGGAACTAAGATAAGGTATAATTTTTATTATAAATAAACATATTTTTTCAATGAAATGCATAAATATTTAATGCTTCGATGATAACTAAACAAAATAACTTACAAAAATTATATAGTAATCTTTCTTGAGTAGGTATTTGATCACAGTTCTATAAATTATAAATATATTTTAGCACTTATTAATATTAATAATATGGATTAATATGATTTAACTAGTATTCGAAGTTGATGCAATCGGTATTTAATATTACAGTTCATGAATCCTCA